CTACTGAAGCACAAAGCTAAGTAAAGCTCCAGGCCTTGGCTTTCTCTGAGTTAAGTGTGAACACACCCACTTGCAGGGCTCATTGTTCCAGGACAGAAATCCTCCCTCCAATACCCTATAGCTCCAGCCCGCAGAAGAGGGGTTTTTCATTTTTTTGAAGGAGGAAGTCTGAGTATCTAGGACCTCATTTTGCTCTCAGCTCTGATCTGATCCTTCCGAAACGAGAAATGTTGGAAAAATCACTGCCCTATTGGCATAAATATCCCATGGAAGCATGGGTGATACCAAGGATGTATTGACCAACATCTGTACCTGAGCAACAAAAGGTTCTTCAGCAGAGCACAGGAAACAGAGTATTTGACCCCAAGGACTGTCCTGAAACATTGAAGGTGGGTGGTCCCCAAAGAAGAGGAGAGGAATTAGGAGCGGGAACATCCTCACACTTCTGTCTTGCCCTTTCACCTCCTTGGTCTTTCTCTTTCCACTTTGCTTTTTCTCCCTCTTGTAGGCCTTTCCATTTGCCCCTCTTCTTTGCCGCAGGGAAACAAAGACCCTAGGGACACACAGGCAGTCCCATTTTCTCCTTCCCTGCCCTCTCCTCCTTGCACCTTCCTTTTCCTCCTCTCAGTTTGTTCCTCACTGGCTCCCATCCACACCTTTACAGCCACACCCTCAAGCTGCAGGGTCTCCCTCCTTGAGAAGAGGGTGGAGCTCCTTTCCCAGGACCTGTTCGAGTTCTCGCCGAGCCTGGTTGGGTCCTTGGCTGTTCTCAGTCTTAACAGGCTTAGATAGCCTGTCCCTCCTCATCTGAGCTGGCTTCTTCATGTTTCATTAACCAAACCTCTTCCTTTTCTTCCCAGAGCTGGGTGAATGCTCATTGCTATTAGATGATGAAGCCTAAGGAATCCCCAGGTGGATGAAGCAGAGGAAACTGCCTGGGTCCTCAGTCCTCTAAAATGTCCGTTTCAATGCAACTTGTTGCCTTGTTTCACTTTTCTACCAATTTTTATGGATTAAACTAGCTATTAGCATGAGCCAAGGATTTCTCAAGATACAAATGTTAGGACCTTAGAACATCAGAACTTCGGAGCTGCAAGGGGCCTTGGTTGTCACCCAGTTCAGTTCCCTCCATTGAGAAGACAAGTGACCTATCCCTGGTCACACGACACAGTTGGGACGAGACCACAGGCCCTTGGTCTTGCTGTTCAGCCATCTGGCATCTACTCCAGGATTTCTGCTACCAGTTTCAACCTATGCCTAAAGGGTTCTCAATTTCACTTACCCCATTGGAAGAGTGAATTCATGAAAAAGACTCAGAAAACACAAAAACTGCCACACCCACATAAGGCCACTGGCACCAGGGCCAGAGGAGTCCATTTTAGTTCCAGGAAAACACCATTTCCACAACAGGAAAGGAAATGTTGACCCAAATATTTTGTTAAAAAGGAAGAGAAACAGCAATCTCCACAAGGGTTTGTAGTTTTACCTTTTTGCTTCATATCAGTGGATCTTCCAATTAAATTGAGAGCAATGATTTTACCTAGTCAGCACCAGGAACTGAAGTGTTACGAAGTACAATCTTGAGACATTGTGTTTGGGGCGGGGTGTTGGGAATTCATTAAACTACTAATCAGAACCATATTTGGGCTCCCTTGATCACTGAATAGAAATCCAGAGTCATCTGGACAGAACTGGGGAGAAGATTGGAAACGGGAAGTTCACGGTCAGAAGATCCCAGTTTTGCACTGGTTAAGGATGTCGCCCTCCTCTAGGGACTGATATCTGGATCGCCTGCCAACCAGTAGACCCAGGTTACACCGATTGGCAGCCTGTAGTTACCATGACAGGTGGTAACAATATAAAAGCATAGGCTACATGAACTACGAACCAAGTTAAGGGACAACCCCCACGCGGCTAAGTTAGAAGCCTCTGTGGCTGGTATTAAATTGATTTAACCATGACCTTGTGGGTAGCAACTGGGTGTGTCCCCCTGACTATGCATATCTGAGTCCCAAATGTCTCCAAGCTTTTGTATATACTGTGGTAAGATAAAGAAGGAACCGTATTTATGTGTAGAAAATGAAATACCTCAGAATCAAATCATATGACTGTGGCTTACTATGTGCATAGTTTCCAAGTTTCGAAATGTTTTCTGCTCCTCTTGCTGCATCTCAGACAACGCTATTCATAATAATCAAGTGGCATCCATTAACTATTGAGTAAGGGTTAAATGTTTAGAGGAGCTCTGGGTGGAGCAGCAACAACAAAACGGAACCAACATTGTTCAGGTTGCTTCAGGACCACAGAACTAGGAGCAAAGAATCGAAGTTCTAGAAGACCCAGTTTTGCTGGATTTAAGAGACTCTAATCATTAGAGCTGTCCAGCGAAGGGGGATGAGCGTGGACGTGCACTCTGAGGTACTGAGCCCCCAACCTCGAAATGTCAAAGAAATGTCCAATGGCAATCTGTCCAGGGCGGCGTAAAAACAAGATTTCTGTGTATGGTAGGAGTAGGAAAGAGTTATCTTCAAGATCCCTCCCCAGCTGAGAGTTCGATGAACAAACTTAAGGATGGAACATAACCGAATGTGCCTTGTGCCCTTTCCCGTGGCCATTTCTCAGCTGTGTTCTCCGTCAGGCTCTGAGGGGCCTGTGAACAGCTGTTTCACTTCTTCCTGTGGGACCCCTTGATCTCAGCGGGTCCGACACGGACCAAAACCCGCAGAGCCAGCCGGACCAAGCCGGGAGGGCCTGTGTCCCCAGGATGGCCTTGGTGAAGCCCATTCAGTAACAAGCCCCCCAGGAACTGCACGGGCCCCACGCTGGCTTCGGGAGGGAAGCGGGGATTGTTGAGAAAGTCACAGTGAGCCTTCTCAGGGGCCTGTGGAAGGATGTCTTTCCTTCCTCGGAGGCCTGCCCTGCTCTCCTGGGAGGCAGCCAGCCTCTGTTCTGGGATGTGATCTGCCCTGGGTTGGTCCTTGACAGCATGCTGACAACTCCCAGGACAGTTTAGCCCCCTCAAACAATGCGCAGCCTGGGGGGTCCTCTGACCTGGACGCCAGAGCGGATGTCCCGCAGCCCTCCAGACAGCGCCCTCCCCGCCCCGCCCTCCAGGTCTGGGGTGGGGATGGATCGGCTTCTGAGGGTGGGGGACAGTAACCCTCACAGTGCAGCCCTGTCAACGCCTTTCAGCCGCAACCAGAAAAACCACCGCACCTAAGGCCTCTCACTGCTTCTTGGAGGAAGAGGGGAAAGCGGGAATCAGAATTGCAGTTTCTTCCAATTGCCCTCAAAGCCCAGGAAATAACATGCAGCCTGTTTTCACATTTATAACCCTACGGTATAACTCAAAATGGGGCACAAATGATGCAATCCATGATGGCTTATACCCCAGAATTTTCAGTATTTTCTATTTGCTGACTAGTCAAATTAGCTTATTAGTTTTAACCCTGCACAAAACTAAAAGATTCGCGCTAACTTCATAGAATGCCATTACTATCAGCTTCACAGTGGTTCCCCTAGTCCACAGCAGGTAATCTGGAAATAATAGTCAGTTTAAGCAAGTGTGGGAGTTCCCTGCATCTGGAAAAGTTGCCCTTGTGTTTACTTCATCACCCCCCTGGGGGCAGTTCTACCAGGAGCCGTGCCTGTACAATGTACACAGACTGATGACATTTAAATCTTCCCTTCCAACGGACTGCGTTTGTTTCTAAAGGAAAAGCCTAATTTCATCAGACAAGCTGAATCCTGTCATTCTCCTCACCTTGTTTATGTGGGGGAGAAAAAAATCCGCCAGTATCTATGTTGAAATAGGCCACACCTCAACCAAAATGCTAACCTTAAAAAAAAACAAAAACAAAACAAAAAAAACCACAAACAGAATCACCCTCTTTCCTTTCTCCAAATTTCCTTTGTGATTAGCATGAGTGTTTGCATCTGTGCAACCGCAGTTTGGAAAAGTGAAAAGATAAATGTCCCCAAATAATCGCTGCCTTCCATGCAGAAAAATCCCACATCCACCTAAAAAAACTTGTTTATTTTTTTTATCTCTTCTTATATACCAACTTTTCACGCAGCACTGAAATTCAGTTATTTCTAGGGTGGAAGCACAAAGCCATTCAACAACTTTGTTACAGGCACAGATGAAGTTCCCCTGCCCCACCCTCCCCCAGTTCCAGCTTCCCTCCCGCCTCTCCCAGCTTGCACATCTGGCCAAGGAGAGAAGGCGCTCTGGAATCCACATCAGTCACCTGATTCCATTAAGTGAACCCCTCCCGGGTTTTATTTGAAAAACCAGTCGCTCTCCTCTCTCTCTTTCTCTCTCTCCCCTCCCTCCTCTCTTTCTCTCTCCTCTCTCCCCTCCTCTCTCTCTAACGGTTTTCTTTAAACAAAACCCAACCCTCTTCTCCCACCCTGTGGGGAGAAAAAACACTTTTCAAATTCAAACAGAAGTGAATGAACAGGCCAAAAGGCAGTAGTGAAACCCACAGGAAAAATACGCTGAAAAGCAGCCCTCTATCCACTGTCACCCCCCAAAAGACCAGCAAACAACCAGCAAGCAGAGACGCAGTTCAAGTCCTGAAGCAATCTGAATCAAAATGGAGGAATGGAAAACATCTGGCAAGTGCAGCCTGTCATTTCAAAGGTTTGTGGCGTTTCCTCCATAAAGACTATCCTATCCAGGTGTGTTCCAAAGTCCCTGGGGCCTCCACATCTTCGGAGCAAAACCCAGGCACTGCGAGACGTAATTACAACCCGGTCCTGCAGATTTCCCTGAGCCTCCCCCAGCCCTGCCGTCCAAATCCATTTTTCTGAAGCTTATGGAAAAAGTTATCTCAGTATCCACGTTTAGCCAAAAGTTTCAAGGATTCAGTTCAAGGAATCACAGGAAACTTGCGAAGGGAAAAAGGAAAAGAAAATCTTAGGTGAGGTCAGAAGAAGGAGAGCAGCGGAAAGGAAGGATTCTCTGAGCTTCCCCGCAGTGTCGGGAGCTGTCCTACCTGAGGGTCCGAGCGACGGAGAAGCCTTGAGTGGCAGCAGCTGGCAGCTGGCCGGGTAGGTCTGCTCTTCTGGAGGTTTGTGACCACAGTGAGGGGAGGGACCTGCCTCCCGAGGTTATAAGTTTCCTGCGCTGGTGTGCCGGGGTGTGTGATGGGCGGTTTCTTTTCACTGTGTTTTAAAGGAGTTTCTATGAATCAGTCTGACTTAAAAAAAATAAAAAATGATTTGTTGGTAAGCTACGCCCTGCTAGGTTGGCAGTCAGTCAAGAGAGGCTGGGAGTGAGCCATCAATTCAAAGAAGCCTGCTTAGGCGCCCTCTGACTCAGACACACAGACCACAGTGGAAAAAGGAGTGACATTGCTTCAAATGAGTAATAGGAGACACACAAATAGATCTGTTTACTGAAGCCCATTCCTCGTCACCAAAAGGAGACTTGGTTACCAAGGGGATAAAGCAGAACTCGAGTTATCTGCCCAACCTTCATCTGGAGAGGGGGAGGGGGAGGGGAAGGGAAGGGTCCTGCCCATTGAAATCCTATTTAGTCGTCTAAGGACAGTCCCATTCTTCCTCTCCCATCAAATGCCTCAGCCACTGCTCACGATCGAGAAAGATCAGATTTATTTATTTACTTCCCTGCCTGACCCGGGTGCACTGTTCTGTACGGCGAGGCCCTGGAGGCGGAAGGGGACACGCCAGGAGCCCAGGTAAGGCTGCCTCTGAATGACAGAGCACTGGTTGGACAGCAGGCTGGTTTATCACTATGCTCTGTAAATGCCCATGTGGGCTCCACACATTGGGGAGGAAGCCCTCTGGCTGAGAACTTTGCTCTGTGATCTCCACGCACTAATCATGTGGACCTTGCTCCACAATTCACTTTCCTGTGCTTGGCCAGGAGCATAATCATCACAACCTCCCTGCACCACTCCTCTCTCACTCAGCACTGGAGCCTGGAGCCAGGAGGGGCCCAAGGAGTCATCTAATCCCAGCCAGGCATTCCACCGGAGAGGAGAGGCCTGATGCCTGAGTTCAAGCCCAGCTCTCCCCTTTATTATCTATGTGACTGTGAGCAAATCAACCTCTCCATGCCTCAGTTTCCTTGCATGTAAAATGAAGGTAGAAGGTACCTATCTCATAGAGTTATGATGAGAAAGACACATAGAGAGCTTATAACAATGCTTGGCACAGAGTATGCACTCAATAAATATTAACTATAATGACTGTTGTACCGAAGAAGAAACCCAGGCCCAGAGAGGTAAAGTGACTGATCCAAGGAGACACAATAAATTAGCAGTAGCAGCTTGGTTCAAGTTTGTCACATCCAAGCAACTCTGTTTCTATTATTCTCTGCTGCATCATGACAACCTATTTCAATTCAAAATATTCTTTTATAGTTATTTATTTATTCATTCATTCAACCAACATCTGCAGGTCACAATGGCCTATGCACTGTCAGAGCTCTGGGTCACAGATGTGAGCAAGATTCACATGTGTGTATGCTCTTGGAACTTAGATTCCATAAAAAAATAAAAAACAAACTGGTGGCTATTCACCAAAATATTGATAAAATCAGGTGGTAAAATTATAGATGAATTTTAGTTTCTTCTGTGTCATGTTACCATAGTTTCCAAGTCTTCTGCAAGGAACCTATACAACTTTGATTTTTAGGGGGGAAAAATTAATGGAAAAGAGAATATATTTTCTGAAATAGATGATGGGGAAAACACCACACACACAAATACACACACACACAAACTGACTGGACACCACATCTTCCCAAGTCCAAGAACTGACTTCTGTCCCTGTAAGGATGAGACAGGGTAGATTTTCCATTATAAACTGATGATTTGACAGCAGATTGCTTCCGTTTCTCATATCTTTCCTCCTCATCATCCCCCATCACTTGTTTGACAATAAAAATGCCTATTTGAGAGGAGCAACTCCCAGCAGTAGGTTGTGTCCCTGTGATCTCTGAGCAGCCTAACCCTCGGGAGGGCAGGATGGGGAGGCCCAGGAGCCCTCTTGGGCTATAAGAACAGATGACGCACATTCTCTCAGAGCAGCATTCTACCCCTCTCCCTGGCCTTCTCCCACCCTTCCGTTGCCTTTCACCTCCAAGGCCTTCTGCCAGTTTCAAACTCTCTTCCCACTGCCTGGCAATGGGGTGAGCCAGTGACTTGCCCTCTTGCATTTCAACCTTAAAGTGAGTAGATATGATAGCCTTCCAAATGGGCCTAATAAATCTCTCCTTCCGTGTACCTTTGCCGATGTAGGGTTTGGAGAGAAAATGTTAACTGCTTTGAGCTCTTAAACCACACACACGCGCGCGCACACACACACACACACACACACACACACGGACCATATAAAGCTAAGTTGTGTAAATATTTTTTTTAAATAAGTGCCAGTCCAGGATCTCTTAAGTCTCTTAATTAACCCTTGAAACATCGCCCGAGCTCATTTTGTAAAACAAAGTTATCAAGTCTGGGAAGAAAATTGGATCTGTTCTGGCTGAAGCTCTAGTCCATTGTGCCTCTGGATGGGCTTAAAACATTAAGCCTGTTTCTTTCCATGGCCATGAACAGGACAATCTTAAGTCTGCGGACAGCAAAAGGTTTAGGGGTCTAAAACCACATGGGGCTGGAGAATGCAGCCCTATCTGGTGTCTTCTAGGTCTATTCAGACAAGGAGGGGGTATAATCTGCCTTCCTGCTCTGTGCTCCATTTCCCTCCTTTGGAAAGTGGGTTAGACACATTCACTTTCCACATGAGTAAAGAACTGGGCAAAGTTTTGTCTGACCCCAATAAAGCCATATATTCTCAGGAAGGAATGTCCCTTCTTGCCCAGTGCCACAGTTCCTCTCAGATATGGCAATATTCCCCCCTCCTTCTAAAGCAATAAGGATCAGCCTCTGGCGTGATGCCATCTGGGGCAGATTTTCAAGTCTGAACTGGCATGAATACTTTTAGTGAATGTAGGAATCAAGGGCTTTTAAGGACTAGATAGGGGAAATCTCCTAAGGTAGGTCTGGCCCCCTCAGTGGCCCCCAGAAAAGAAAACTCAGAATAGCTTGAACTTGTTTTTGCTCAAACTCAGTTAGCCAAAAAGAATCTCAAACATGTTCCCCAAAGCTGTGATATGCGCAGGGGATGTCAGTGTTCTTATTAGCAGCCACTGCTTGAAAGGTAAATCGATTAAAAAATAGTAAATAGTATTTCCAAAGTCGAATGAATGTGTGTTCTTTGACACTCCTGTTTGAAATTTGAGAACTTACCAGAAATTTCATCTTCTCCCTGTCACTTCTTTCTGCTCTGTTCCGCTCTTTGTTTCTCCCACAGGCTGTTTTCTTCCTGCTTTTATTGTTTGCTTTCTTAAAATCCTTTCGGCGGGATGTAATTTTAACATAATTTTACAAAATGAGAAATCTCTAAAATCCCATTAGTCTTCCCCTTTCTAGTCTCTTAGTGAGCTTGTCCTGAAACTGCTTTTGAAAGACAAAGCTGATGAAACTCCAAGTGTCTGAGAACGGGGGCCCTTGGCCAGACATTTCCAGCCAAGTGGAAAGTCTCCATAACCAAGCGCTGTGATGGAGGTGGTTGTAGAAGAGACATGACAGTGTTGACGATGACATCTGAAACTGGCAGGTGGACCAAGCCAACAACCCTGCCACCTTGGACAGTTACTGGATTGACATTAACTGCTGTAATCAACTTTTTCAGGCAGTTGGGATGTGTATGGATGGTGAAATGGCTAAAAGAACAGAGCTCCCAAGCTATGTCTGCATGGCTATGGCTTCATAGCCAAGAAGATTAACAAACAAACAAAATTAGAAGTGAAAAGATCCAGTCTTTTTCCAATTAACATCAACTGCAGTACCAGAAGATCTTAAAGGTGTATCACCTTCTTCACATTGCTCCTCATGCTACTGCACACGATTCCTACTGCTTAATGGACCATTTCGGGGCTGGAGCATGAATATTCATAAGTAACAGAAGAGTGACTGCCCCTCCCTTTGCATGGAGCGGGCACAGGTCCAGAAGGTAGATGCTGCCGACAGAGCAGGTACTCCATTAAGATCTAATACATTTAATCAATGGAGTATCCAGCTTCCAAGTAAGAGGCTCTGGTGTCCTCCACAATCCTCCCCTCAAACTCAGCTGCTGTTCAGAGCACCCTCTAGCTAAGGCCCCACAGCTGTAAGAAAAGCCATGAGCACATATTTTTAAATTTGCCCGAGGAAATTGTTGTGGAAGGGAGGCCGACAGCCCATCCTGGGGGCAGGGAGGGGGGAGCTTAAAATATATTCCCCACTAGGATTGTGTGGTCAGCAGAGCATAAACGGGCACTCTAGAAGTGACCTTTGAGACCAAGGTAGCACTTTCAGCCTCACAAATTGTGTCTTGTGTCTTAGTTGTGACTTAGTCACAACTAAGAAGAGTGACTCAATAATTCAGCCACATTGGAAATTCTTTCTGGTTAAATTTTAGGGTGATTAGTTGAATATTTTTAGGTCTTACAAGACTTAAATGACCTCTTTCAAATCCTTAAGACTCATGCGCGCACACACACACACTACACACCACACACCACACACCACACACCAAGGTGGCATTTGCCATTCCAAACAGATAGATTCCAGGTCCACCCTACTCCTTGTGAGCAGTGTGTAGGGAGGTGTCTCAAGGCACTTGAACCTGACAGAGCTCGTGGTCTCAGCTGGTCTTTCCCAGCAGGTCTGGGTGAACAATGATGACGAACACACAAAGCTCCTTTTCCAGACCCCACACTGACCACCCTCCTTTGGTTAACACACTAGACCTTCAGCCAAATTATAGTGCTATCAAGTGTGACTTATTCAGTTACATCTTTCTAGTTATAATTTCACCTCAGCCATAGATATCTGTGACTACACCCCTGCATCTTAATTAGAGTTGGGGGTCCATCAATCTCTGCAACCTTTTGTGACTATTTGGGGGGTCCCATCCACAGAGGCTCAAACCAACCACTCTAGTCTTCCTAATTTTTACTCTTAAATGAAGACTTTATTTTTGATATCAGGGGATGCCATAATATACCCTTTGTACTAAGAACTTTCATTTGAATATTCAAGGCATCATGCCCTCCAAAATGTCCTTCCTTCTGGATTGTGTGCTGGGTGGCACTGAGGGGAAAGTAACTATTAACCAATTAGATGTGAGGAAATTCACTCTCACCATCCTGCAAACCTCTGAAACTGTACACAGGATCCATGACACCAAAAGAGGATGTCCTTTTACTATTTGATTTTTGATTGTAAAAAATGAATCATCATCTTTTATTAGACATTTTTATTGATTTTGAGAGAAAGAGGAGGGGAGAGGCGAAGGGAGAGGGAGGGAGAGAGAGAGA